TTGAAAGAGAGATGCTTACTCAAACCTGCAGACAGTTCTGAAAATTTACTGCATTTGAGCCTGGAAAGTGTTGTTTTAGGCAAACGGGAACGTGTGTGGATGGGTTTCTGCATGCCGCCACTTGGGCTTCCAGAATTAGAGTGGCGGGAAACATTTCCGGTGGCCTTCAGCCCTCTTCCAGAACTTGGTCCGGGTCCCTCTCAAATGGTCGGTGTTTTATTCTGATCCCTCTCCAGCACCCCAACAGTGTCGTGTACAGTTGTAACCTCTCAGGAAGCTGAGTTAGTCCATTCCTTCCGCCCTGGCCGTCCACCTGAGAAAACAAGCTCTGGTCCATAGGTGGGGGTTCGCTCTGAGAACTTGCCCAACGTGTAATCCCAGATGGACCCAGCTCGGAGTCTTTGAGGTCGGGAATGTGCACTAAAGAGGAGGACTGGATTCTTTCTTTTCCTTTATTTTGAGGTAAAAAAAAATTGTTCCTGAAGGAACTCTTATGTAAAATACCACTTGCTAATTGACTTACCTTGGATAAATAATCGCCTTATGTCTTTAGATGCCATTGAAACATTTCACCAGCATTTGTTGTTTCCTGTTCTGTTAAATTTTGCTATTCTGACGGGGGTGAGATGATAGCTCATAGTTGTTTTGCTATGCATCTTCTTTTTTTCCCTGTGCATCTTCTTGATGAGGATATTCACCTTTCTGAAGCAGGTAGAAGTCAGCCTTGGCCACGCTCTCGTGCTATCTGCTCCTTTCGCAGTCTCCTTTGCCCCTCCCTAGAAAGCCTCCAAGTGGCTCATCCTCAAGTGGCCCTCTCCTTGAGTACCGCAAAACCATCTCCCAGATCACAGGTCCCGTGTCACATCATTTGTATAACCCTTCCAACTTCTTCATACCAGGCTGTCACCACAAAAGGGTTTAGATAAAATCCACGTATTTAATCGTACAGTAGAGTTCTTCTCCCCCCGCCCCATGTTGTCTGTCTTTATTCTAGTTATTGGTGTTCTTGGAGAAAAAGAGGCAGGTTCTAAGCCTGAGGGGAGGGGTAAAGAGTGTTCTTGAAAGTAACTTTCAGATGGCAATGTGGCAGCTTTCCTCAAGGGGATAACTAGGCATGCATGTTAATTACAGTTTTTGTTTTCTAGAAGAAACAATGCACTCTGAAACCTAAAGGTTTTTTCCTACTTATGCCTTTGAGTTGTGGTGCTGGAAAAGAATATTGAACATACTGTGGACTGCCAAGAGAATGAATAGATCTGTTCTAGAGAGAGTGAAACCAAGTTGTTCCTTGACAGCAAGGATTTTGAAGTTCCATCCCACATACTTTGAGCATGTGACCAGGAAGGACCAGTCCTTGGAGAAGGACATCATGCTTAGAGAGGTGGGGGGACAAGGAAAGAGAGGAAGACCCTGGATGAGTTGGATTGACATAGTAACTGGGGTAATAAGGGTGGGTGTGTTGGAGAAGGTGAGATTGTCCCAGGATAGTCCAAAGTTCAGAGCTCTTGTGCATAGTGTCTGTGAATTACAGGCGACTTGATAGCACATAACAACAATGGTTTATTGGACCTCTGGTGGCCTGGCGTTAAGAAACTGCACTGCAATCCCAAAGGCATGTGGTTCTGATTCACCAGCTGATAAGCGAGAGGATGGGCAGTCTTCTCTTGCTTGACTGACTGCTTCTGAAAACCCTCTTGAGGGTCAGCTATGAGTTGGTTCTGACTGAAGGGTATACAACAACAGCAACAGTAATGGTTTATTGACATATATAATATTCACATAGAAAAGTATAATGCACATACAGAAAAGCATGGTGTCCCCAAGCATATAGTGTACATATATTGTTGTTAAGTGCTGTTAAGTTGAATAGGACTGATAGTGACCCTATGTACTACGTATGAACCCTGTTCTATCCTGTGCCATCCTTATCATCCTCAACCCATTTGAGGCCATTGCTGCAGACACTGTATCAGGTTCATCTCATCATGGGTCTTCTTTTCCTTTGCTGACCCTCCCCTTTCCAAGCATGATGACCTGTCCCAAGGAATAGCCTCTCCTAGCCTCATGTCCAAAATCTGTGAAATGAAGCTTTGCCTTCAAGGAATTCTTTGTCCAAGACATGCCTGTTCTTTTGGCTGTCAATGGGATATTGAAAACCCAGGCAGAGGGTTTTCATAAATGGAACGAAAATAGATAAACGTATGCAAAGACTTTTGACTGTGTGGATCACAAAAAGCTGTGGCTGACTCTGAGAAGAATGGGAATCCCAGAACATTTGATTGTGCTAATGCGAAACCTATACTTGGACCACGAGGAAGTCATCAGAACAGAGCAAGGAAACACTGCATGGTTCAAAATTGGGAAGGGTGTACACTAGGGCTGTGTCCTATCTCCATACCTTTTCAGTGTGTATGCTGAACAGATCATCTAGGAGGCTGAGCTCTATGAGGAGGAATGTGGCATCAGGATTGGTGGAAGAGTCATCAACAACCTGCGTTATGTGGATGACACAACCCTGCTTGCTGAAACTGAGGAGGACCTGAAGCGCTTGCTGCAGAAGGTCAAGGACGGCAGCCTCCTATATGGATTGAAGCTCAACATCAAGAAAACAAAGATTCTCACCACTGGGTCAATTGACAGCATCAGTATGGATGGTGAAGAGATTGAGATAGTTAACAGTTTTCGTTTACTTGGTTCCACAGTCAACATTCTTGGTACCAGCAGCCAGGAAATCAAGAGACAAATTGCATTGGGAATGTCAGCTGTGAGGGACCTCTCAAGAGTACTGAAGAGCAATGACATCAGGCTGGAGACGAAGGTGCACCTGATCTGGACTATAGTCTTCGCACTTATGTGCTATGCATCAGAGAGTTGGACAGTGACTAGGGATGATAGAGTATTGATGCCTTTGAGCTGTGGTGCTGGAGAAGAGTATTGAATATACCATGGACTGCTAGGAGAACAAACAGGTTTGTCCTGGAGAAGGTGAAGCCAGAATGCTCCTTGGAGGCAAGGATTCTGAAGCTTCATCTGACATACTCTGGGCATATTTCAAGGAGCCCCTCCTTGGAGAGGAACATCATGTTTGGGAGAGTGGAGGGGCGGCTAAGGAGAGGAAGACCCTCGATGAGATGGATCGATTCTGTGAGTGGAGTAGTGGGAATGAGTGTGTTTGTGACAGCGAGGTTGGCACAGGATGTAATGGCGTTTAGAGCTCTTGTACCTAGGGTCGCTATGAGTCGCAAGCAACTCGATGGCACATAACAGCAAGAACAACATAGCCCTGGTGGCCCTGTACACATTGAATTACTAACCAAAAGGTTGGAGGTTCAAACCTACAGCTGTTCTTCGGGAGACAGATGAGCCAGTCTTGTTCCCATAAAGATCTCAGACTTGGGAAGCCCATGGGTCAGTTCTACTGTCTTACAGAGTCACTGTGAGTTGGAATCAACTGGATGACAAGGAATCCTTAGCTTTAAATGTAACCAGCACCTTGATCATGCACTCTAACATTATCAGTCCATTGAAAGCCTTTCTTCTCAGCTGCTCCTCTCAGTACTCAGTTACTACCAACACTTGTTTTCCTGACTTTTAATGAACAATTCACTGTATTCGTTAATGCAATAGTGAAAACTTAAAGAAAACATTCAATTTCTTTCAAAACAAACTTGTGACTGAGTCATGTTGCAAGGAGGGGACTGCACGTAGTTCTTCAAGGAGCCCTGGTGGTGCAGTTAAGCCCTCACCTGATAATGGAAAGCTCAGACCTCCCAGCTGCATGGTGGGAGGCAGGTGAGACAGTTGCTTCTGTGAAGTTTTACACTTTGGGACACTATGAGGCAGCCCTCCTCTGCCCTGTAGGGTCACTGATGAGCTGAAATCAACTAGATGGCAAGGTGGTTTGTTTAGGGTTTTTTTACCACTTGCTGCTGTTTTTTGAGCCTTTGAGTGTCTGTTGCTCTGAAATACAGCTGACCCTTGAATAAGGCAGGCTTGAACTGCCCGGATTATTCACTCTGTGGACTTTTCCACCTGCTGCTTTCATTTGAAGATCATCCCCAAGTGAACGTTTTTCTCTTCCTGGAGAGACAGATTGGTCACGGAGGTGATTGGTGCCACACAGTGTTTGAGGTGAACGGATCTGGGTGAATCTGCTTCAAATACTTCATCAGCAACAGGGGGGAAAACCACACAGGTTAAACAGGTTAGTGCAGCTAGGACCAATGCTGTTCAAAGGTCACCTGCGTGTGAATTAGATGCAGTTTGTTCACATGCCAAAGGTCATCGCCCCTCATCTCCACGTTATTTCAGTTATCACCTGTACATTTTTTACTAGTTTTTTTTTTAATTTTATTTTATTATTTTGTGTGTGTGTACTGTCAAATCAGATCTGACTGGTACAGGAGGAGGACATTGCCACTCCTTCTCCAGCAGAGCATCTGGTGGACTTGAACCGTGGTGCCTCTGGGATTGCAGTGCGGCTTTTTGACACTAGGCCACCAGAGCTCCCTCACCTGTAAATTTTTAAAAATCTATTGAGTAATTAGTGCTCCCTCAGCTTCCAGCAGGGGACATATTGGTTTAAGGTCTGGAAGTGACACAGCTAGGCTAATCCACAAGCAAGGGTAATGGCTAACTACCCTCTCTTCACCTCAGTGACTTTTAGGCTTTGCACAGTAGAATCCACCCCTCGCAGAAGTCACTCTCTTGTGCAGGAAAGAGGATCAGCCATCCTTTATCTCAGAGAAAGGAATTATCACTGACTCGGTCCTGAAGCGTCATGGGTTAGGTAGAACGCACAGCCTCATGAGCTGCGTCTGAAACCTCACCACGTCCTGGAGGAGAAGCGAGAGACAGTGCCGACAACTGTTCTCCAGGGACTCTTTGGTTATCAAGACTGTGCAATCCTACCAATTTCCTGATATATCTTGTCCCATTTTTCTGGTAGGAAATGGGATTTTTTCCCCCCTTTCAGCATCATTTCTCTTGTCTCGTTTCAGATCACAGAACTGTGTGGTGCAAAGCGGGTTGGTTATTTTGGTCCCCCCCAGTTCTACGCTGCCCTGAAACTCATCGCGGCTGCGCAGTCTGGCCTCCCGGTGCGGATCGAGAACATTACATGTGGTGAGTAGCTTCCGCTCCCGTGGCGTGGAGCGCACGGAACCAGGCGCTCCTTAAGGAGCGTGATTTTCTGTCTCCTTGTCTCCCTCAACTTCCCTGTAAAAAGAACATAGTTTCTCCCCTTGGGGGAAAAAAAGGAACGTGACCTGAGATTATTCTCTTTTCACTCACTTGAAGCTAAAATTGATTTTGTTCTTTAGTTGGGGCAGGAATTCTAGAGCCTGGGACAAAAGTGTGCCATCAGCAGACCTCAGAGACACTGCAGGTTCAATTCCATAGCGCCACAATAAAGCGAATGTCGCAAAAAAGAGTTAAGGTGGATTTCGGTTTGTCTCCCTGCACATGTAAAAACATGTTCACAGGACACTCTAGTCTGTGAAGTTGTGCATTAGGAAAAACTTGGGCTACTGGGAGAAAGATCAGAATGGGACCCATAGAAATGAGTGCATGCTCTTGGAGAAATGGCACCAGATAGACTTGTTAGACTTGCTTTCTGCAGGGTTGCCATAAATCCTCCAAATGCATCTTCAAAGCTAAATACAATGAAGAGTGCTGCTTGTGTTATATTTTATTTTCTCCTTGAGATACCTCCAAAGGCTTATGGGGGGTGACTTCTTGTGTTTTTGTGGGGTACTGTCCCTTTCCCTCTTTCCTGTCAGTCACATCAGCTATGACCCGCCTTGAGCGCCCCCCCACCCAACAGCACTCTCTGACAGTAAGTACTTTGGGTCCACCAGAATTTGGGCAGAATGAATTTATGTTCTCACATTTCTCGAAAGTGTTACCAAGCAATTTAATACAAAGTACATAGAGTTTAAAAGTTTATAAAAAAAGAAAAAACTCCATCGTGACACTATGACCATAACACAGTCCTGATGGTTTTTTTAGCATCCAGCCTTTGCTCATTTTCCATTCACAGTTGTGCTTAGAGGACTTGGGGATGCAGTTGGCATTTCTTACTCATTAGCAGTCTTTCCGTGTTGGTCCATAGTCAGCGTGGGCCCTTCTGTAATATCTGTGGGATAATCCATTCAATCAAATGCCTGTCCCCAGATTGAATTGACCTGAGCTCTCAAAGATTGCACTTGATGTTTTACTAATCTCCCCATCTGTGCCTCCCTGCCGCCATGGCTTGAGCACAACCCCCAGCTTCCAGAAGCGGTGAAGGTGGTGCCCACTCGTTACCACGTATGTCTGCAGTCATCATGACACCATTTCTTAAGGGTGTAGTGTGTGCCAGGCACGAAGGTAAGGACTCATTCAATCCGCGCAGTGTCCACTCAGATTGGTATTTGTGTGGCTTTGGCTTGCCTAAAATAAGCTGTGATGACGAAGCCCAGCAAAACGTCAGTGTCTTAACAAAACCAATAACCAAGACAGTGACCCTCTGTGCGGTGCCTCAGTGACCTTCACTGTTCTGTCTGATGGCACCTCCTGCGCTCTTGTACCCCCTCCCACTGCCATCACAGGCAAAGGTGTACTAGTGTTCCCCACACTAGCACGTGCTTGCTTTGGCCTAAATGTGACCTTCTTTGCTGCTTCTCACAGCCAGTATGGCAGAACTTGTACCACACAGGGCAGATTCTGGCAAGCATGATTCTCTTGTCTGCCTGGGAGCACAGGAGAACTGGTTTTGAATAAACTCTGGGCGTCTCTACTGTGGTGATACCGCCATTCTCTGGGCCTTACAGATGGTAATTGTGATGGCTAGGGAGGCTCAGTAACTTGCCTGAGGACACAAGGTTAGTGGTGTTTGGAGCTCGGCGCTCTGCTTTCAGGTCCCATACTCTTAGCATCTCTGCAGAATAACCTCTCTACAATCACTCTTTCTCTCTAAAAGGTGTTGATTGTAACCTGTAGTCCTAGAACGTGTCTTGAATGGGTGAAATCTGACTTGAAAGGCACCCTTGGCTATGAAGATGGCACCGAAACTGAAGAAGGAAGCCCCTGCCCCTCTCAAAACGGAAGCCAAAGCAAAGGCATTAAAGGCCAAGAAGGCATCGTGAAGGGCATCCACAGCCAAGAAAAAGAGAAGACCCGCACGTCACACACCTTCCGGAGGCCTAATTCGCTGAGACTCCGAAGGCAGCCCAAATACCCCAGGAAGAGCGCCCCCAGGAGAAACAAGTTTCCCCTGACCACTGAGTCAGCCATGAAGAAGATAGAAGATAACAACACACTTGTGTTCATTGTGGATGTCAAGGCCAACAAGCACCAAACTAAACAAGCTGTAAAGAAGCTCTATGACATTGATGTGGCTAAGGTCAACACTTTGATTAGGCCTGATGGAGAGAAGAAGGCCTATCTTCGACTTGCTCCTGACTATGATGCTTTGGATGTTGCCAACAAAATTGGGATCATCTAAACTGAGTCCAGGGGGCTAAATCTAAATACAAATTCACACACACACATACACACACACACACACACACACACACACACACACGGCACCCTTGGCATTGCATGGCAGTGGTCATTGTTAGGAGTGGCCAAGTTGACTCACTCATAGCAGTCCTATGGATAGCCAATGGAAACCGAGCCTGGTCCTGTGTTTGCTCCACTGTTGTTGAGTGTCTTCGCCTTTTTATTGACTCTTTCCTTTACCCAGCATGCCTGTCTCCAGGGACTGGCTGCTCTTGACAACGTGCCCCACGTGTGTGAGACAAAGTCTACGCATCCTTACACCTCAGGAGCTTTGCTCTGACACAGTGTTCCTCAGCAGCCTCGTGGTCCATTCAGTATTCTTCCCCAGCACCACAGCTCGAAGACACCAGAAGATGATAACACGATCCGAACTTCTCACTTCTGAGAGTTCGAGAACACCCGGAGCACCTTCTGAATTGCTGCCTTCCCCTGAGATCTTCTTAGTTAACGTTATTTGCAGTCTGCATAGGCTGAGGAAGAACAAGGGCAAGGTTATGCCAAGCTCTGCGCTATTGCTTAGAATGCTCCCAACTTTTGCTTGCAGCTCATTGCTTAATCTTTGAGGGCATAGCCCTGTGGACTGAAAAGAAGCTGATCTGAGAGATAGAGTCGACTTGTGGGCGACAGGCACTGTGTGTCCATACTAACTTCTAGCCCCTGACCTTTTCCTCTTTCAGTAAATGGAGTCTTGAGTGTTGAAGCCAAAAACCTGTCCTGATCACCTCCGCCCCCTTCTGTGTGTCCCCCACCTGCAGCCCTGGTAGGGGGCCATCTTTACACCCCACTGCCCGTCTAGGCCAGGCCACTTTCACCGCTCACCTGGAGGGTTCATTTCTGCATTGGTGTCCCTGACCTCGTCCACAGGCCAGTCCATTTCCCCTTGCATTAGGGAGCATTTTTGTCTACTCTTGAGTCAGAACTGACCCATAGCAGACCCTCCGGCGGGTTTTCAGAGGCCATTAGTCACACAGGAGGAGATTGCCCATCCTTCCCTCACAGAGCAGCTGGTGGTAGCCTCGAACTGCGTGCCTCGGGATTAGAGTTCAGCTTCTTTCCACTAGGCTACCAGGGCTCCCTTTCCATGAGTGCAGCTCGTCCTCCTGCTGAGAGCCCTCCTGTGGTTTTCTGTGCAGAGTTCCCTGGCCCTGTGGTGATCCAAGAGTTCAGTCTGACTCCTCCGGCCTCAGCTCCAGCCTCCCTCCTCACTGGCTGCCTAGTGGTCACTGTCACTCTTTCCTGTGCCGGGGCCTGTACCTGTGCTCTCCGAGGGCTCAGGCTGTTGGGACACTATTGCCTTTTCTACTCCTCATACCCGTCTTGCTGACCCCCAAGATCCTGAGCTAGAGCGTGGTTGTTGTATGCTGTTGGATCCTGCCAGAACACAACTTTCGACAAGTCAAAAGCAGGAAATAGTAAGCCAGGGCGGTAGGCCACGTTGTTCTTTTTTCTTTCTGGAGATAAGGTTTACATGACGCCCATTCTGTTTCTGCTGGCGATCATTGAAGGACAGGGAAGAGCAGTCACCATTCTAGACAACAGTGGCCTCTGTCCAGCCCCGATTCCCTGTTGCCCAGAGAATGAGTCTCAACGTCATTTGTCATTTATCCTTTAACCGCTCATTGTGCTCTAACGGGTTGAGGAAATGAAAGTATTGCTTAAGTCCATGTCTCTATCAGACATGGAAACAACGATATTCTTTTTTTTCTAGAGGCCACATGCTTTAAAAGGAGAAGCCGACTTCTCTTTGTGCAGGTGAAAAATAGTCATTTATATGTAATAATCAAAGCCTTCCTGTGTTCAAAGAGGACAGCCCAAAATGCCACTCTGAAACAACGTGTTGCCCTGGCTGGCTGTGTTCATTATCTCCTCGGCCCTATTGCTATCCTATCTGAACTCCTCTTTTCGCTCTTCTCTGTTGATGTAATTGAATTTCAGAAACACGATTCTCACCAGCTACCACAAAGAGACCTCTTGCTCATTTGAGGCACATCATTTCAGGGTAGATACTTCACTGCTGAATCTTCTAAAAAACCTTTACTCTCTAAATTGGCTGGTGTATGGCTAAGAAAACGATTGAGGCTGCACATTTACAAGCTCGAGTTTTACGTTTCACTTTTTTAAAGGCCTGCAGCAGTTTAAGGAACGCAGGCCTTCATCAATGTTTCCAGCGGCATGGTTATTATTATGAAAAAGGTTTATAGTTCCTTTAAGTGAGAGTTGCTTGGAACCACGTAGCCAAGGAAAGTATGAGAGAATTAATTTGGCTGCATTTTTTTTCTTCTTTGCTGTTCAGCGGCTGCCCGGGGGTGGGAGGTTCATTGTCGGGTTAACAAGGAGTTTTCTGGAGAAATGCCCTAGTCAGGGCTGGAGGATGCGTGAAATGACAGGCTCATAGAGAGTGCCTGAATGTCAGTTTAAGTCCTTGGAGAACAGTTGTCAATTATACCACCATGACCACACTCCACTGCAAGAAGTCCTGGAGGTACAGTGGTGAAGCAATTAGCGGCCGAGCAGAAGGTTGACAGTTCAAAGCCACCAGTTACTCCATTGGAGAAAGCTGTGGTTTCTGCTTCTGTCAAGATTCCAGCCCTAGACCCCTGTACTGAGATGGTTCTGCTCTGTCAGTGCGGTTTCTGGAAGCTGGATTGTTGGCAGTGGGATGGATAGTCCATTGCTCCCTGGAGGTAATCATTGTCCACCGGTAAAAGACTGATCAGAGAATTTGTTAAGGTCCAAGCAGTGACTTCTTTCCCCCACAAGAAATGCTTGGAAGTGGAGCCATCCTCTACTGGACCGCACAAGACATCATCTGTTTTGTTGTTGTTGTTATGTGCCATCAAGTCGCTTATGACTCATAGCGACCCTGTGTACAACAGCCCTAAACTCGCTCTGTCCTGTGCCAATCGCACTGTCGCTGACACTCCCATCCCAATTATCCCAGTCACTGAATCAATCCACCTCATAGAGGGCCTTCCCCTCCTGCGCTGTCCCTCTACCCTCCCAAGCATGATGTCCTTCTCCAAGGACCGGTCTCTCCTCACAACATGTCCAAAGTATGTTAGACGGAGCCTCAGAATCCTTGCTTCCAAGGAGCCACCCGGTTTAACCCTTTCCAGGATGAACCTGTTTGTTTTCCTAGCAGTCCATGGTACTCTCAGTACTCTTCTCCAGCAACACAGCTCAAAGGCATCAATTCTCCTTCTAGCCTCCCTGGTCACTGTCCAACTCTCTGATGCATAACAAGTGATTGTGAAGACCATAGCCTGTATCAGACACACCTTATTCTCCAGAGAGACACCATTGCTCTTCAGTACTTTGGAGAGGTTCCTAACAGCAGACTGTCCCATGCCAATACGTCTTCTAATTTCCTGGCTGTTGGTGCCAAGAGTGTTGACTGTGGAGCCAAGCAAATTGAAGCTGTGAACAGTCTCAATCTCTTCACCATCCATCCTGATGCTGCCAATTGGTCCAGTGGTGAGAATCTTTGTCTTCTTGACATTGAGCCTCAATCCATATTGGAGGCTGCAGTCCTTGACCCTCTGCAGCAGGTACTTCAAGTCCTCCTCAGTTTCAGCAAGCAGGGTAGTGTCATCTGCATAACACAGATTGTTGATAAATCGTCCACCAATCTTGACCCCACATTTCTCCTCATAGAGGCCAGCCTCCCGGATAATCTGTTCTGCATATAGGTTGAAAAGGTATGGAGATAGGACGCATCCCTGGTATACGCCCTTCCCAATTTTGAACCATGCAGTGTTCCCTTGCTCTGTTCTGATATTTTATGTGATCTTATTCCATCTTTCTAGATTCTTTCTGCAGACCGAATGGAAGCAAATGTCTTTATGAGTACATATCTGTAGGAGTAGCTTAGATGTGATTTATTGAGACTCGAAATTTTCTTTTGCTTCTTTTCTTTTGCAGCCCCTTCCTGCCCCCCTCACACCCTCCTCCCAAGTATTGGAAGGCTGCTGGAGGTTGGGAAATGTTTAAACATTAAAAATGGCGGCCATCTTAATCTCAGTTTAATTTTCCATTGTGGTTACTCTATTTATGTCTCTTGGGGCCTTGGCTGATTGATCATGCAGGAATTTGTCATATTGCCTACTCCTTTGATTCAAATGTGGACCTTGCAACTAAAAAGAAACATGACGTGGCTATTAGAGAACCAGGGGCCGTCTTTGCCTGGGGAGCTGGGAGCCTTGCTTGCTGTTGCTAAGACGCGTCCTGGCTTTAACACCCATCAATCACTGGCCGTGCAGCTGTGTTTTGGGGAATAGCAAGCTGAAGGAAGCGCAAAGGCTCTCTGATGAGTATTATCCTGAACAATGGCTCTAGATGGCAGATCGTTATATGGAATCTGTCAGATTATCCTGTGCGGAGTCCTTTGTGCTGTGTGATTGGTGCGATTTGCTGTACTGGAACCCGAAGTACACCGAAGCATCTCTTCCAGCTCCAGAATCATTCTGTTGGAAACTGGAAGCATAAGTGAGTTTCACCTTTTGGTAGCATTTTTAGTATGACGCATAACTTGGACAGATTCACCTGAAGAGTCTAACTTGATACCATCTTCCTTGTTATCTTTGAAAAGATCACTGGAGCTGGAATAGGAATATTTGGAAAAGAGCTGGAAAGAATGAGAAACTGCCCAGTTGACTGCGTTTGCCCTAAGGAGGGCGGACCTTCCTTGGGGCACTAGGAGCAGTCGAGAGTGTAGGCTCTGTTGCCAGCTTCAAACCCTGGCTCTGCCACAGACCTTGGGGAAGTTACGGATATGTCAGAGATACAGAGAGATTGTGGGTTCAGTTCCATACCACCAAAAGAAAGCAAATATTACAACAAAGTAAGTCGTGTGTGTGTGTGTGTGTGTGTGTGTGTGTAGTTGTGTTCCACTATACTGCAGTCTGATAAGTGCACACTGTTGTTGTTGTTAAGTGCCGTTGAGTTGCAGGCGACTCACAGCGACCCTATGAAGGAGAGTTCTCATCTCAACACTTGTGTATCTTTCATCCTCTCTCCAGGTTCATAGGGTTTCTGGAGGCAAGCTATTACGGAAGTGGATGCCACTCCTCCTTACAGGCTATATTAGGCATAGATTTTTTAGTGTTTCTAAAAACTCTATGCCTAATATAGAAGTGGATGCCACTCCTCCTTACAGCTTGTTTTAATCAGGGAGCTCCACCCCACTCTCTGTCCACATTAGGTAACCAGCCATTAACACATTTGACACACCAGTATCACAGTGTTCAAACTCACAGCAACCACAAGTGACAGCTGTACGGCAACTTGTATACCAGGGCTATACGACCTAGAGGAATGTCTGAACAAAAACAATGAAAGACGGGCCCGAGGGCCGCAGATTAAAAGTCACCCACCTTTGGCTTGATAGCATCGCCTTTTGTCCACTGGGCCAGTGATCTCTCCATGTTGATGTTATTGTTAAGTGCCGTCGAGTCGCAGGCGACTCACAGCGACCCTATGAAGGAGAGTTCTCAATGCTTGGGTGTCTCTCATCCTCTCTCCAGGTTCATAGTGTTTCCAGAGGCCAGCTATTACTAGCGTGTTAAAAAAGTTGGAATGGTGTGACAATCACCCAAAGTAACCCAAAGACACGATGTGAGAAAAAGACCCAAAACCAAACCAAACCAAAACAACCCCCCAGCACCAACAGACTTGCTCACGGCAGGGTTGCTGCACATTTTCAATTTGTAAAAAAACCCAGAGTATCTGCAAAGCTCCGTAAAGTGGAGTGAGCTAGAACAAGGAACCCCTGCACTGAGCTCCTTCGTGTCAGTTTTTATATCTGTTGTTGTTAAGTGCTGTCAAGTTGACTGTGACTCACAGTGACCCTGTGAACAAAGGGTCTGAACCCCACGCTATCTTGTGCCATCCTGACCCTGCTGGTTTTGATCAGGCACACCTTAGTCTTCATACTGACATCATTGCTTATCAGCACCCTGGAGAGGTCCCTGACAGCTGACTTTCCCTATGCAATAATGTAGGAGGACAATATCAGGTAATATAGGATAATGCAGGAGGAGGAACGTTACAGTTTTATAGTATTGCTGTGAAGATTAAATGAGTTAATATGTGCTGCCATTTCGTCACTTTTCTTGGTATCTCTACAGTGTCGCATCTTTCTTCCTGGTGCTGAACTGAGGGATGAAGTAGGAGATCAGTCTCAAACTGGAATTCGTTCTCTGAAGGTTTGGCAGCATTTAAGGATGTTGCGCCACCTAGATAAAACCGTAGGCTTTTGCTGTGGTGGCATTATTACAGGAGTTCTCATTGCGTGCAAATGAAAAGGAAATCTGTATTTAGTGCTTTGGAATTTTCCCTCAGAAATGATTGATCTGTTGGCCCCTGAGTCCCCCCTTTCTCAGAGTCCTTTAATGACGTCTCAGCTGCGCTTCTCTGATTCCCGTCCTCCAGAGTTGCCTCTGCCTCGCTTTATGATGTCAAAGAATGATGGGGAAGTCCGCTTTGGGAACCCGGCTGAGCTGCATGGAACCAAGGCTCAGATGCCATATGTAACCGCAGAGAAAAATGCCTTCAAAAGAACGGATGATGCAGATATACAGGTAAACAGTCCACCATGACACCTCACAGGGAGTGCCCCAGAGCCGCTGTCAGGCATCCAGCTCATGCCACCATCTGTGACGTAGTTCCGGACTTGGAAGGAAGCCAGTACAGTCCTAGCGTGTGGAAGAGAGGCTGGCACACACACCATTTAGCGGGGAGTACCATCCCTAGGGGGTTGCTCTGCTCTCCCTCTCTGGCAGTTCAAATCCATCAGTGACTTCATGGGGGAAAGATGGAGTCTCCTCACGTGCAGTTGACAGCCTCAGAAAAGCCCTCCGTAGTGTCCGCTGTGAGTTGATTCAGACTCGATCACAGTGGGTTTATTAGAGTCGATCATGCTCTTTAGTGAGTGCTTCAATACCAAAGTAAGCCTCCCCAATTTTACCTGTGTTGGTTTTCTCTGGGTAATTGATATTCAAGTGGAATGCCGAGGAATTTTAAAAATAGATTTATACCTCCCTGCTCTCCACCAGCTGCCTGCTCCAAGTCCCAAACTCTTAGGGAAAAGGTACCACTTAAATATGCTTATATCCCCTATTCTTGGGGGAAAGATGCTATCCCTTGAATTGGCGATTCGTAGGATACATTAAAGGCCCTGAGAAGCCCTGCAGGAATGAGGTCTGGAGAACCACGTGTCCTGTGCATCTCTGAGCGGGCAGCATGGTTAGCAGGTTGGGGATAGAAGTAAGAAGGGTGGGCTCTTTGAGAACAGCCCAGGTTGCAGTAGACAGATGACTGGCCGAGACAAAGGTCAAGAAGCCCCGAAAACTGGGCCTTACATAGAAGAGGGGAGCCATCTTACACGTTCATTAACCCCAAGAGCACCAGGGCACAGTAACCATACTGAATCATGCAGGAAAGGCAGATTATGGTCCACAGAGTGTCTTCTATCAGGCGAAGAAATCTGTGATGTTTTAGGAAGACTTGACTCTAAAGGTTCAAAAAATGCAACGACGATTGAGAGCTCCAGTTCCGGCTTGATCCCTGGAGTGCGCACAGCTGTGGCTCAGGGCTTCCCCTGACGGGTCTGGCTCTGCGAAGTGCTGCTGCAGGTGTTGTGGGCTTACAGTTAAGTGAGAGGTGCCAGAGGAGACCACGTGGCACAGTGGTTAAGGCTGTTGACTGATGGTTGATGGTTCAAACCCAGCATCCGCTCCAATGGAGAACGATGAGTCACGGTAAAGATTTCAGCTTCAGAGTCACTGTGGGGAATTCTACTCTCTTCTGCGGGGTCGTGAGTCAGAAACGACTGGACTTGATCTCAGTAGGCTGTGCTGTTTTGGTGTTAAACAGTTGCAAGGATGAGTACTTTCATAATTGTGACATTTTAAGTGAGTTCTTTGGTAATGTGAGAAAGGGGACAGAGGAACACCCAGGGAATATTCCACAGTGTGTTGCACGCCTGCCCCCAGAATCTGCTTTCCAGCAGTGTCTGATGTCTTAGAAGGGTGACAGGTGCAGTCGCTAACACTGAGTTGGGACACCCCTCTTCTCCTCAGGCTAGACTTGGGCTTCAGAGAAAATATTTTTTTCTATTTCAAGAAGTGTCTTTGGTCAGTGACTTAGATTGGACGTTTCTGTTTCGACGCAGAGCCTTTAATGACAAACAGTGTGGTTTCCTCTCAAGTCACTAGTCTGTTGGTACTTTTTCTTTTGTAAGAGAAGGAAACCAAGTAGTAAGAGGAAGTGACTTTCACCCCTGCCTAGGTTTCTAATCAAGTTCCTGGTAGAATCCAGCCTTAGATTGGAGCTCTTGGTAGGATTTCCTCCCAGTGTTTATGAGTAGGCTCGCTGGTTTACCGTTTCTCGTTATGGGGGTAAAAGTTAACACTTTAGCATCAGAAACTCCAAGGGTCTTTAGCCTTAACTAATTTAAATAGTTTGGGGATTTTGGGTTTTTTTGTTTGTTTGTTTGTTTTTTAATGTACACAACATGAAATGAGTTTGTTTTCCAAGAGGTGAAAATTGGGAGGTAGGGGTGTTACTTCATGCGATCAGTGCCTTTAATTTTCCGAAGGAAATTATTACTGGAATAGTGAAAAGGGTTTCTGGCTCCATTTAAGCACATTCTCTATGAGACTTGACCACCTCAGATACTGCATTTTGAACCCCGTGGTGTTACGTGGAGACCTCCCCCATGCCCCCCCCCTTGTCCAGTGTTAGTTCTGCTGGGTCACCAGCAGCTGGAGTGGTGTTTTCCCTTCCTAACTGCCACTCGGCATGCCTGGTTTGTAGCATCACTGCTGAACTCTGCTTTGGTTCTTTGCAGCAGGAAACCCAGTCTCCCACGATGTCACCCCTCGCCTCCCCGCCTTCCTCCCCGCCTCATTACCAGAGGGTGCCTTTGAGCCATGGCTACAGCAAACTGCGGAGCGGTGCCGAACAGATGCAGCCAGGTAAGAGGCGAGCTGGGGCCAGCTGTCCCCGTGTCCCCGTGACTCCTTAATCCTGCCGGCAGCCACGCCACCAGCTGCTGGCTTTTCCTGATTTAATGACCCCTGTCTTGGGAAACATGGCTCAATTTTAATTTTAAGTTCTCAAACAGAGTTTTTGAAACAAGTTGTGTTTTGGCAATGTTAAAATCTCCTGTTCTGTAATCGAGTTTCTCTTTAGACATGTAAACAACTGTTCAGCTGATTAATCCTTCAGATGCAGGTCGCATGCAACAGGGACATGGTGTATTAATGGTTGGCATCACCTTTCCTCTGCTGCCCTCCGTGACCCCCTGCATTACCATTCCTTTTTGCGAGCATAACCAAGCGCACCACTTAAAAGCATTAAGGAAACTTGTGAAAAATCGAGCTATGCAAACTATGCAAACCTTAGGGGGCAGTGATATTCATGGGAGAGGAAAAGCTAAAAAAAAGAGGAGATGAGCATGGTTGCACAGGTCAGAAAAAGTAATGTGACTGCATTGTGCATGTGGAAGCCTGAATTGACGTGTGTTTTTTTGTTATGCATACTCTCAACAACGGCAAAAACATTGAGAGATGCAAGTGTGTGTATCTGCAAAAGCTAAACACTATCTACAGCCTTTGGAGACTGAGCCCATGCATGAAAATATGGAAATATTTTGCCCTTGTGATTTGGGTGATGCTGGGGAAGTGTTTGGCTGGGAAACGTGTCCTGCGCACGGTGGGGCGGGTGGTGGTTTGCTCATTCATTCTCATCGTTCTGCCAGGTCCCTGGTAAAATCCAGCAGTGACTTCTGCAGATGATTTGCAGAGCTGGCTGCCCAGGCTGTGACGCTTAACATCCCATAAATTCAATGCAGCACCTTGTCCTCCTGGGGCTCCGGCTCCCAGTTTAAAAGCTGACCAAGTAAGGACATTCCAGAATTGGCTATCTGTGACACCTTCCCCCACCCTTTTATTTTGTGAGCTATGGTTGAAAGTGACCCAGTTTCTGTCGGTTTTTTTCTCCTGCACTGAAAATACTGATGACTTCTAGAGGGACCCAGAGGGGGGGAAAAATCTGTTAGGCTGAACTAAAGAGAACACAGCCACGCTGAGAAGTTGATGCAACCTTTTGATTGGAATCAGAGTGTGTGACGGGGCATCACCAATGTGACCTTGGACAAGCCCTTTCACTTCCCTTACCTAGGATGTCCACTCTTTTTTCTTTTAAAAAAAAACAAAACAAAAAAAAACTAGTTTATTGTGGAGAGGCAGCCCATCTGGTGACGTAGTCAAGTGCTCTATAATGTTCCTTTTCAAACAAAGATCCAAGCAAGCAAGTGCATTGGATATAGGTGACAGCCTATATCCAGAGTGTCAAAGGCAAGGCTGAAGCACTGGGCTGAGTGCCAAGTGCAAGGAGAACCTGTACGGAGACAGCACATTTGAGAACTCGGAGTTGCCCCAGTCTCGGTATTTGGACCTCCACCGTGCGTGTGTCCATGCTGGGACAAAGGAAATAGAGTTCACCAAGTGCGGACAAGTAGAAGCAGCTACACACATGTCCTCAGCCAAGCTAGAGTGCCCCCTGCCTTGTGAAATCTAAAAGTGTGGTCACCTCATCCCCACTCTTTCCCCTGCTCCCTGGGCCAGAGGCTCAAGGCCTTCTGGTGCCCACCCCCCGCCCTCCATTCCTGTCATCTGTTCCTCCCCAGCACATGATCATGTTCTAGGAGCTCCCACCATCATCAAGCCCCCTGAACCACATGGACTAGTGATAACAGCTATACACTTAGTTACTGGCACTGGGGGCCTGTGGAGCATTGGCGGCCACTCCTGTGCCCAGTGCTGGCAGTCCATCGACTGGTAACACTTCTAACTCTGCTCGGTGCCTGGAGTGCCACGAGGGTGTGAACCAGAGACTCCGGCGGCTCCTACACCAGCACCAGCTGTCTGTGCTGGGGACCTACAGCCGAGCATTGTCTCCAGCCTACTCCGCCCCCTGTGCTGGGAGCCTGAGGGTGGCCAGCACACCCTCCCTGTACTGCACTCTAGAGTCATGGCCTTTTAGTGGGCACTTGTGGACTGGTGGTATGGCCCCTGCCTGGCCTCCCATTTGCCCCCTGCGCGGTGTAACTATAGACTTTTACTTGCTCCAGTTACTTCATTGAGGCCCTGCCTGGCTGGAACCATCGGTCAAAGTTTCTGTACCACTTCCGCAGTGACCAGTGACCCTCAACCATTTGGCAGCTGGAAATGTGCACACTATATGCAGTGACTAGGTGACCAGCTGGGCAGGCTTACCACTTGACAAAAAAGCAGCAAACAGAGACTTGAACCTGCAAACTCAGCTGCTGCCCCACTTACTTGGAGATGAGTGGTGAGAGTTTTTTTGTTGTTTGTTTTTATTTTTTTTATTAATTTTAATAGACATTTACAGAGGTTTTGGATTTCCATTCATTCATTGCCGCACTTTTTTCCCTGCCCACCCCTCCCCAAGTGGTGAGAGCTTTATATATTGTTGGACTAGTGAGCGTAACATGCATGCTTAATCTATGAAAATATTTAAAAAATCAAGATGCATGAAATAAACATAAATAAATATCGTAACACCATAGTGCTGTAGAGACAACAAGTAATATCAGATTGCATAAAGAATAGAACAAGGTGCCTTCAGTAAAGTGACTGAAATAAACAGAAAACCTTCTGGTGGAAGAAATGCTAATGGAACAACCTGGAAAGGAATTCCAAAGAGGAATCTTAGGGTTGTCCAATGGATCAAAGGAAACAGAAATTCTTAGAATTAAACAAGAGTGGAAACAGAACATACCAATACTTTGGGGATAGAGCAGCAGTGATGCTCACAGGTCAGTTTGTAGCAATCAGTACACACACACACACACACACACACACACACACACACACACACACACACACAAGAATATTTGATACAACAGCTCTCACCAATAGCAGCAAAAGAAGCCCACAGTTACCAGAAAAAAGACATTAATAAAGATCAGAGCAGAGATAAATGAACTACAATAGAAAGACAGTAGAAAAAAGAAAAACTCCAAAAGTTGGTTCTTTAAAAAGATCAATGACATTGACAAATCACTGACCAAAATGATCAGAGAAAAGAGTAAAAGCAAATAACCCAAGTAAGAGACTAGATGGACGATATTACAGTAGACCAAACAGAAATAAAAGCTGTCACATAAAACACTGAAAAATTATACTCTAGCAAATTTGAAAATCTAGAGTACATGGACAAATTTCCTCACAATGCCTACCTAAACCAGTGTAAACGGAAGTAGAAAACGGAACAAAAATAATGAAACAAAAGAGATGAAAGATGTTAGAACAGCAGCTCCTAACGACCTCAGTGACCTGAGGTGGCTTCACTGGAGGATTCTACCAAACATTCAAAGTATATACCGTCGAATGACAAAAGGACGAGCTAATCCCTCTTGGAGAAATGTTCCTCTTGGAGGAAGTGCGACCAAAATGTGTCTTGAAGGCAAGGATTGTGAAATGTCATCTCATATACTTTGTGAGGTGCTGCCAGGAGGAGTTAGTCCTTAGAAAAATACATCACGCTGGGAAAGTGACGGGTCAATGCAAGAGACGGAGACTCTCAACAAGATAGTGACATGGTGGCTGCAACAGTGCCTTTTCACACATGTTCAAGATCATAAGGATGTCACAGGATAGGCTGGTGGTCAGGGAATTGCTATGAGTCCTCGTTTACTTGTTGGCACCTTACAAGAAGATTCTTTCTAAAAGATGTACAATATCTACCAGTAATACTAGAGTATTTGGTTGGCCAGTCTGCTAGTCAGCTAAAAGAGGTGCAGTTTGGTTTGGATTTATGGAATATCTGTGGATGGTAGTCTTGGGGAGCCCTCAAGTCTTATACTGTAAGTCTGGACTTTTTAGCAATGTGAGTTCTAGTCTACATTTTGTTCTCCTTCTATTAGGATCCATTTGCTGTAGCTCTGATCTAAACAGTCATTCATGGCAGTGGGGCACCGTCTAGTTCTTTGGGCCTCAGATAAGTGAGGCTGTGGTTCATGCAGACTGTTCGTCTTGTAGTCTAGTTTCTGCTCGTAGCTTTTAGTTCCCTTTTCTTTTCCTCTACATGAGATGAGACTGATAGTTGTTACATTAGTACCTTGTGTTTCCACATTAACAGTTTTTGAAAATGACTCTGTAGAAGTTTATCAAGAGTACCTCATACTTTTAAAAATCTTTTACCTTATTATTATTCATAACATGCCTAGTGAAAGAAAAACCTGTTAAGATTTTACAAACGGGGATCCTGATTACATTCTTTAAGGTGAGCAGCCATTTCTCACCCTACTTTTCTGACTTCACTCTCATTACCATAAACTCAGTGACCCCTAATTTTCTTATCTAATATTTTGCTTGGCTTTTGTCAATTTGATGCTTTCTATTGTGAGTGTTGGAGAAGAGTGCTGAATGTCGCACCTACTGCCAATAGAATGAATAAATATGTCTCGGAGAGGGTACAGCCAGAGTGTTCCTTGGAGGCAAGGATGATGAAGCTTCGCCTCACATACCTTGGACATGTTGCTAGGAGAGGATTATTCTTGGAGAGGGACATGATGTTGGGAAGGGTGGAGGGTCGGCAAAGGTGAGGAAGACCCTCGACCAGGTGGATTGACATGGTGACCGCTGCAATGGGCTCTAGTGTGTCAGGAAGTGTGAGGATGGTATTCAGATCCGCTGTTCATAGGGTCACTAAGAGTCAGACTTGACTTGACGACACCTAATAACAACAATGTAACTGGAGATACAAAGGACCTGTACAAAGAAAAGTACAGAACACTTCTGCGAGAAGCAATAAAAGGCCTAAAGAAATGGGAAAATGTGTCCTGTTCTTGGATGGAAGACTCAATATAGTGAAAATGACAGTCCTACCAACAGCAATCTACATGTTCAACACAATCCCAATACAGATACCAAATTCATTCTTTGAG